GCATTCTGTCTGATTTCAGTCTATATTCTGTCTGATTTTAGCCAATACTCTGTCTAATTTCAGTCTATATTCTGTCTGATTTTAGCCAATATTCTATCTGATTTCATTATAGATTCTGTGAATTGAATTCAGTCTATAATTTAATCAAATAGAATATCTAATTTATTGTGTATCCTAGAACTTATTTTTGTATATAGTTTATACCTGAATTCAGTTATGATTCTGATTTGAACATTCCGTCTGATTTCACTGAATTTCATTCTACAATCTATATGAATTCAGTCTATATTCTTACTACTGTGTCTGATTTTAGTCTAGAAATTGCCTGAGCTCCATCGATTTCAGTATGGATCCTGTCTGATTTCAGTCTATACCTTGTCTGATTTCAACCTGGAGCCTGACTAATTTACGTTTGGAGCCTGTCTCATTTTAGTCTGGACTGTGTCCATTCACTCTTGACTGATGTCGATACTGTTACTGCCCAGAACCATCAAATTGATTCAGCTCAGTCTCCTTATGACCCGCTCACCTCTCTTTCTTTCACTCTCCTGAAAACCCAGGAGACATCACCCTTTCCCTTAGACGTCACACGCTGACGTCCATTGAGTCTCCAAACGCAACATGTTGTGTTTAGCAATCTCTGAATATTCTTTTACCTCCAGATACACACACTCAACAACACACAGAAACAGGCTTGTACAGGTCAGCTTTGGAGGGGCACATAGACTGTTTGAGCTGCTGCTGGCAGTCAGTAGAGAACAAATGATCACAGATGAGCTTCCAAAGGAGTGTTACACAACCTAGGAGAGAGAAAAGGAGGTAGAGAAGAACACCCCATCTGTCTTCTCCAAGAAGATTAGTTCCAGGACATTAAAATGAGTTTAAGGGACTAAGCCCCAGCCACTCTCTCAATATCAAGATGTTCTTCTCTTCTCTTTCCTTTTTTCACTTTTAAAATAAAGTATAGGTACTTATCCCCCAACTACTTTCACAATATCAAGATATTGTTCTCTTCTATGCTGTTCTCTGCTTTAATCTCCGTTCACCTCTTTTGCCATTTTTCACTCTTAAAATGAAGTTTAGGCACCTAACCCCCAACCACTCTCTCAATATCAAGACGTTTTTCTCTTCTCTGTTGTAATTTTTTTCTCTTCTTCTCTTCTCTCCTCTTCTCTTCTCTTCTCTTCTCTTCTCTTCTCTTCCCTTCCCTTCCCTTCCCTCATGTTCACCTGTTGCCATTTTAACTCAAGAACATATTATGGGCCTCAAATGACATTACATACATAGTACTGTGAGGGAAGCCAGTGTAGAATGGCTGCAGAAATCTTTGAACAGAGCTACAGAGACCCCTGCTGGTGGATAATAGTAATGTCTTACCACATCCTTAAATCTAAAGTGTCAAACCCAACCACTAAAAGGACCATATTGAAAAATCGCAACAAATCCGTGGGCCGGCTTTGTTTTTGTTTTATTTTTACTTAACATTTTGCACATTTCACATATTTACATCTATTTCTATGTCTACACTGTTCAGCCTGTTTAGCTCCCTTTTATCCCACCCTTCAATGGTCAAGACCCCCACAGGACCACCACAGAGCAGGTATTATTTGGGTGGTGGATCATTCTCAGCACTGTAGTGACACTGATGTAGTGTGATGTGTTAGGGTGTGTTGCGCTGATATGAATAGATCAGACACAGCAGAGCTGCTGGAGTTTTTAAACACTGTGTCCACTCACTGTCCACTCTATTAGACACTCCTACCTTGTCAGTCCACCTTGCAGTTGTAAAGTCAGAGAAGACAGCTCATCTGTTGCTGCACAGTTTGTGTAGGGCATCCTCTAGTCCATCATTAGTGGTCACAGGACGCTGCCCACAGGACGCTGTTGGCTGAATATTTTTGGTTGGTGGACTATTCTCAGTCCAGCAGTGACACTGAGGTGTTTAAAACTCCAGCAGCACTGCTGTGTCTGATCCACTCATATCAGCGTAACATACACTATGTTACACGCCCACCACGTCAGTGTCACTGCAGTGTTGAGAATGATCCACCACTCAAATAATACCTGCTCTTTGGTGGTCCTGTGGGGTTCCTGACCACTGGTACAGGGTAAAAGGGGGTTAACAAAGTATGCAGAGAAACAGATGGACTATAGCCTGTAATTTTAGAACTACAAAGTGCACCTATATGGTAAGTGGAGCTTTCTATATCTAACAGGTCGACCATGGGGAAATCGTGTTCATGCAGGAATCTAACCAGAATGAAGAACTGTAACACTGATGTTGCTTCTGCTACCAATCTTCTCTAATCAGTACTTAATTACTGAAGCTTTTAAGAGTCAATGAACCAGCCAAGGCTGCTTATGCTGAAACACAAGCATTAGGGAAACAGCTTGGACTAATCAGTGACAAAAAAAACAAAAAAGGTCATGAAACACATTGACATAAAATCCAAGAATGGAGTTAGAAACACTGGCATAGGAAACGGTTTTGCCCATTTGCAATAGCAAAAAAAGTTCTTATTTATAGCCCTTCAAAACGTATCTGAAAGGTATTTGCAAGTACGCTCAAACAAAATAATGAAAGTAAAACTGTAAAAATGAAGAAAATGAGCACTAATCAAGACACAAAAGTAAGCATATGAAGTTATTTGAACAGTGAAGTCATAGGCTGGAGAATAAAAGAAAATAAATATTGGTAGCATGTGTATCCAACACTGCTTTAAGCCCATAAGGGAAAGACTGCACATATTATGTTATTTACATATAGAAGACATTCAAAATTGTTGAAAAGGGAGCAATCAAAGTTCAGTTTGTTCTTATATAATCAAGTTGTCTAGTAGACAGGAAAACTGTCTACCTGCTTCTATGAAGCAGTTCTACTATCTCCAAAACACTGTCAAAGAGCAGGTCCAACACATTTAAGATAAAATTAAAGGTGAAAAAGTTTAACTGGATGGGCCTATTTCTACATGAATATCCATGAAGGGTTTTTAGACTCAAGCTGCTGTTAAAGTCTTTTTCAAAGTGAGGATTAAAGAGTGCAGTTACTCATGGCACCCCTTAACAGAGCATTACTATGAAATAGCAGCTATTCAGTAGAGCTAGGGTGGGGAACCGAGTGTCAGCACAGTTTAGTGCCTTTCCTGCTTTCAGATTCCAAGTCCTAGCAATTAAAAAGGAATTCCACTGATTTTCCAAAATTTCAGCATAATGAAATGGTGAAGATGTAAACAGTCATTCAGAGAGGTTTAATGTGAGTTGCACCATCCTAGAGAAACTTGGCGGCTCAGAATTGTTCACAATGGTGATGATAGGAACCATGTACGAAGAGATTCATGCATCTAAAGGCTCTCTCACAGAGAGTCATTACATGAAATGGTTATGAATCTGCAGCCTGATGCATTTTTTTACGGTTTTTTGTAAAACACACCAGAGAGATGCATGCAAAGCATTGCAAAGTAAACCAGCCCACAAAGAAAATATATTTTTCATATTTAGCAATACTTTACCATTATTAGTATTCCATGCAAAAACGCAGAAGATACGTGTGGGTTCACTGGTCATTTTTGAACAGTAAATAAAATGGCTATATTTGTGTTTTAGACATCACAAAGCCTGGTTCTTATCACCACTACTGTAAAGAAATCAGAGTCAGACAGTCAGTCTGAATGCTGTGGGATTCTGGCTCTGCGGTAGAGCATCATTCAACATCACATTCAGTTACTGTATTGTTTCAGATTAGACCAACAAAAAGTGCTCATCATTAAGGTTTGAACCAAAGTGGTTATTTCCAACGCTCTCAGGAGCCCAATGTACTCATAAAAGAATGATTGTCCAGTCATGTGCAAGACTGTATAATGATAAACATTCTGTCCTGTTGTTTGCTTTGACTGCTCTATACTTCTGTAAAGATGAAGAACAGTGGTGGACAAAGTACACAAATCCAGTGCTTGGGTGAAAGTAGAGACACTCTTGGTAAAATATTACTCAAATAAAGGTGCTCTATTTATAATTTTGCTCGAATTTAAGTCCAAAGGTCTCAAAACTAAAAGCATTGTGAGATATTACAACATTTCTAACAATCCAACATTTCTCCTCTTGTGTCTTCTAGTTTATTCATATCATCTATCTGATTTAAAAAATACTCGCACAATGAGTTTTCTTTTATTCAGAAAGCTTCTTATAGTTGTCCTGTTCTAGTTACAGTTGCTAAGCTAAGCTAAGATTGGATGCTTGGTATTTAGAAGAGGGATTTGGTGAAAGGTGCGCTATGATCGGTTTGATTTATTTGCAAAACGTGCATCATATTCTGAGAAATAATCACCCACATTTGTTTTGTTTTTTTTCTCTCAGTGGATAATGTGTAATTGTCTTTATTAAACCTCAGATCTGTACAAACATGCTTTTCCACTTGTAAATAATCAGATAAGGTAATGTAGATAACCATCACAAGATTTCATCTACCTTACAGTTTTATATGCACTTGGAGTGAATATTTCTATCAAACATTGTCTCTGGAAAAATAGAAATATTCCATTTAAATAACGGTAAAACAATGAATCATAATTAATGTTAATATTACTAACATTTATAAATTGGCTGTTGTGACATCACAAAAGCAATGCATTGTAAAAGGGCTGTTTATGCAGCAGTTTCTATATATGGACTGAATGGACGATTTGGGACTTTTACAGTGCTTACAGACGACATTACACTGTTCTGTTGTTAAAAAGTGAGGAAAATTCAGTTTTCCGTGATGTGCCCCTTTAAAACTCGTTGTTTTATTATACGTACTCAATCACACGTCTGACTGTTGTGTGTTGTCCCCCACTCACTGGATATCGATTCACTCATTTTTATACTGTTGCGTTGTCTTGTTTGCTCTCTCCCTTTCTCTCCCCACTTGTTCTCCCTCTTTCTCTCGCTCTCTCAGTAGCGTTTCATTTTGACGGACTGAGCTGAACTGTCTCTCTGCCCGATTTGGACCAATCACATTCTTCTGACCTATTATGGTTATGAGCGTGACAGCGCCGTACCCATGATGCGCTGCGGTTTGAGGCTGGTCTGCTGGAGCCAAGATGACCGACTTTGAGGAGCCGCTCTCCGACGAGGAGAAGGTAAGACGCTTTGGTTCTTTTTGTTCTCATCAGAATTGCCTTCTTATTCGGGCTGCAGGTCCTTCTGCATCCGCGAAAACGATTTTGATCGGCACGCGTCAATTCTGGGCTCGCACGGCGCATATCAGACCGCCTTTAGCCGGTTAGCAGTCTGTTAGCTAGCTTTAGCTAGCTTCTACAGGAAGCTGAATAGAAGCTGCCCGTTTAGGGAATGGCAGCCTGGTAGTAAACATTCCCTGTTTTGCTAGCGAAGCAGTTAGTAATCTTTGTTTAGAACTCGCTTTTAGACGGCAGGTGTTTCAGGTGGTGTAGCCATCAGTGCAATACGCTGGATATGTTTTTGTTCGTGCTTTTAGATTTGCGAACTCCTCGCTTTGATTGAAATGGTCTGAGCTTGGTTGTTAGCCCGGGCGTTAGCTCGCCTACTTGTCAAAATGACTAACAGTACAGGAAGTAGCAGCGTCGAGCAGCTAGCTGCCTGCCATAAATAGTGCTAGCATTCCGATTCTGTGTTTTTCGATATCGCCACGAAAACCAACAGTGATTGAGAGAAGTGTGTAATTTGTGACATGGACTCCGCTGAAGTTAGATAACTGGAGATTGTTGAAGATCCGCTGGCTAGCTAACATGTTACACGCTCCGCTGAATAAAATGACTTTGACTTGGCCAACTCCTTACTCCCCCTGCTCTGCGACTGCCCGTACAAACTGAAATGCATCTGTCCTGGCATGTAGTCGGATCTCAGTGCTTCAGCTCGTCACAGTTGTGTGCAGAATATGTGGCTGGAAAGTAAGTGAAACCGCTGAATGGTTAAAAACGGAGGCGGTTTTTGGCCTAAGCGCTGGCCAGAGAACATGACACTGTGATTTGAGGGGAAAACAGGATACCTTTATTAACATATGACTGACACATATTGAGTGTGCAGAATGTGTTTTTTTGTTAGGACTACGCGTTATGTTAGGATATTACCAAAAAGTATTTTGTTGAATAGTGGCAATAGACTAAACGTCCAAAATAGTAGGGTTACAAAATATATACAAAGAGTAACTGATAACAGCTTTGGTTTAATAGTGGCAGTACACAAAACTCAAAGCAACCTAAGTAACAGAATTACTTTTATATACTTTATGTTATGGATTCAGTTTTGTCAAAATGAGCCTTTAGCTGACAGGCCTTGTCTGGTAACCACTTGAAGTTGTTGAGTTGTCTCATGCTTTATCTCTTGTTCTTTCTTACTTGGTCTTATCTTATCCACCAACTTATAGATTCCAAGCATACACCATGAACAAGCATTTTATCATTTTAACTAGTATAGCCTGTTTGCACACAAGGCTTATTACTGGTTCACTTTTTGTTCCTCAGAAACAGCATGAGATCAGTTTAAAAAGAAGTTCTGATGTTGTGGTGTGTTGTATTTTACACTATATTCTCAAAGGCTCTTTTATAGTTGTGCTGATTCTAGAGGGGAAGTGCTACTGCACCTTCATAATTCTCACTTCGTTGTTGGTCAGTGATCTGTTCAATCAGTGCATACAGCATGAGCAGAGAAAGGGTAGTTAGCATGAGTCCTTAAAGCTCAGTGTTTCTGGGCCTGAATTTTGAAATGTCTGTTTATTAAAACATCAAATATACACTTATCTGTTGTGCTGACCTAGTGTCAGTATCAAATATGTTTAGTACAGGGACAGTTACTCAGCAAATGAGCTATTTTAAACGATGTATTTCATAGTTGTCCGGACAGGAGGTAGCACTGTGTAAAACTATGCAGGTATGTGGGGAAAACCATAACTACATGGTGTGTTGTTAACTCTTCTTTCAAGCAAATAGATAGTATCACTTTTGGGAGGGCAGGGGGTGATCTTTTGTCTTTGTACTTGGTCAAAGGGTTTGTTTGTTTTGGAACATGTTTAGCCTGTTTCCCTCACAATGCAGCCGTAGCCAAATTACGAAGACCATGGAAAACTCATGCCCCCTGGCCATGAACCACACATGCCCTTGGGAGAAATAATTTAAAAAAAAAAACCTGATTATTATTATTATTTTTTTAAAAGAGTTCATTGCTCTAAGAAAATCACTTCCATTTACAGTGTCTTTGCTGTAATACTAGGCTCGAGGGTGAACACTTTTTCTTATCTTCTTTTTGCGCAGGTCCGCATAGCAGCTAACTTTGTCACCCATGCTCCGCCCGGCGAGTTCAACGAAGTCTTCAATGGTATGTTTAACATTTTTTTTAAATGGAAAGAATGATGACCAGTGGTTATTTTGCTTCTAAGCAATAAAAGCCATTGAGACTGTAATTTTAATTGAACACTAGCAATGCTTGACCTGTGAGCAGAATTAGAGCCCTCAGGTTTTTAGAATCAACATACCTGGTGTAGGTCTGTGATATTTTATAACAGTTTATTCTTTAAAATTATTCTTTACTTATTGTTTAAATGCTTAAATATGTATGATTTACTTAATAAACTACTTCAAGATCTTGGGATGTACAGTATATGTAGCACAGATACAGGCTAGACCCAAAGCATGTTGAGGCAAATAATCTCATGTTTCACTCATCATATTGTATCATACAGTGTTCTATATAAAGACCCTTCCAGGTGTTTGTTATGAATTGTTTTTTTTTGTTATTTATTATTGACTTAATCTTATGTTCCCAAATTTCAGAATGATCTGTATGTACAAAACATAATTATTTTTATTTCTTTAGATGTGCGGCTTCTCCTCAACAATGATAACCTCCTCAGGGAGGGGGCATCACAGTAAGTTTCTGTTTTTGTGGATTCACAGTAGCCTTTGATGAATCATTCCTAGTACTACCCTATGAACTCAGAAATTCCCAATGTTTTTTTGATCTCTCAAACTCTGTCCTGTTTTGTTTCTCTTAGTGCCTTTGCCCAGTATAACATGGATCAGTTCACCCCTGTAAAACTGGAAAATTCGGAGGAATCGGTAAGAGTCGCTCACAACACACACACACACACACACACACACACACACACACACACACAATCGCATTGTTAGTACTTCTGTGAAGATGAAGCCCACAAGTTATAACAGACTTCAGTAAGAGACTGGTTCACTCCCTCTCTCTCAGTAATGATGGTCATCAGGAACTGTTTTAGTAAAACACTCTGGTTTAAAAAGAGGTTGGTTTTGGTAGTTTGAGCAAGATTTCTCCATGCCTTGGGACACAGTCCTTTCATTCAGGATTGTTTTGTCTTGGCCTTACCTCAAAACTGGGTGATTCAGCTCTGTGAGGGCTTTAATTTAAGACTCATTTACTCAAGGATTTCCTCCTGTAAACTTCCTTGTTGGCTATTTTGTCTGTTACTCATGGTAGTTTTAATTCTGCTTGTCTAATTTAAATCTATTAAGAAGACAGTTATTGGCCTGTATTCTTAAATGTAATCTGAATTGTCACAAAACTACTACAGTGAATTATTATAGTGTTTAACTTGTAAAAAAACAGTTAAAACAAGATGAAAAGAGCCTCAAGGACGTACTGAGCTAATATGAAAAAGAAACACTGACTGTTCACCTGATAATTCCACCAAGACTATTATCCTACCATTTCACAACTTCTAACTAGATATGCTACATTTGGGTGTGTACCTATATTTTTTTTTACATATAAAGATGCCAAGAAGGTTTCTTTGGAGCAATGCTGTAAAAATCAATTTTGGTCATTCTCACATAACAGCCACAAAACATCTCCATAAATATTTGAGAGTCGTAAGCTATATATGCAATTTAGTAGGTCAGTTGTACAGTACTACAAGTTAAATAATGCATTTTGCAAAATATTTGTATTTTAATAATATACTTTAAAATACTTGTCTGGCAAGACTATACAGATTGTGAAAAGTTACTGAAGAATTTTAAATGGGAAAACATTACAATAAATCAATTTAACATCAGTTAAATCATTGTCAATAAATCATCATTCAGGTGTATTTTTATTTGTTCAACCAGGCATCATTGCATATCCAAACATTTAAGTTTTAATATTTTGACTTTTTTTTTAGTTTTTTTTCATGTCCATGAGAATACCCCCTTCTGGTTTCCTGAACAAACCTTTCAATGTATGATTCTATAAAAAACTCTTCTTTTTTAAGGAAACCAAAAGTGTCTTTCTCTGGCATTGCATTAAAGAAATGTTGGCACATTTATTCTGAAGAGTTTAAATGAGTTTTCACTAATAACATTTATTCATTTGTGTAAATTAAGAACTAAATTTCTGTTACATTCAGAGTTGTTTCACAAGTGATCGTATGTCGTACTGAAGCCTGATCTGCAGTGTTGAGGTAGAAGAGAATCTCCTGGTGATAATAGAATCTCAGTCAGTTATTGGCAGACTTCCTCATTTCCTGAGGGAAGAGTTCATCTTACTGCTTAATGAAAACTATGTGGGTATAGATGACACGTCTACACCGCTGCGCTTTCTGTAGGTTCTGATCACGGAGCATGGTGACCTGGGTCAGGGACGGTACTTTGACCCACGGAGCCGCAGGTCGTTCCGTTTTGATCACCTGCGTAAAGAAGCCAGTGACCCTCAGCCCTACCAAGGAGAGACCGCCCTGCACTCCTGGAGAGATGCCTGTGATACTGCACTTAGTGCCTACGTCAAAGAGCACTACCCTACTGGAGTGTGCACGGTACATACACATACAGATACAGACGGTGACTCCACACTAAGATATTAACACTGAAAGTGAATAAATTAAGGATGCACTAATATGGACCGATAACAGTATCAGATAATTAGCATGTTACTGATACTAACTGAATATTTTTACTTTTTTTGCATTTTAAAACAAGTTCACACTATGCATAAGTGTAGCGATTGTAAAAATTATAACATACTTGCTAATGCTCCTAAAACCTATCTGTTAACTGCCTTCGATACTTTATTCAATAGAGATGGCACCAGTATGATACCAAATGCCAGTACTGGCCTGATATCAGCAGAAGATGCTGGGTTTTTTGGTCTCCTCCTATCCTGTTACAAATTTAGCCTCAAATAGCACACACTCACGGGGTGTCATGTTATTGTCTAGATATTCCTGTGGTGCAGTAGCGTGGTGAGTAGTTTGAGCATGGTAGTCTTTTTAGACTAGGAATGGAGATTTTGAAGTGTTGTAGTTTTAAAGGAAAACAAGTAGTTTTTTGAATCCTAATCCATTTATACTTCATACTGAAAAATTCAGTATTAGTATTGGAAATGAAAAAGTTGTATTGTGCCATCTCTGATTATCAGCTACTATTCCAATATTGGACCAATAATAGTGATTTTAGTTTTACAGTTTATAAGCGAGTAATATACCGGCTACTAAAATATTGTGTTATACATGTTGGTAGTGATTTGGAAGGTAAGCTGTAAACTTCCTCTTCTAAAAATGAATAACCAAAACAGGCTTTGATGCAGTAATCAGTTCCTTAATATTCAGGTTTAAGGCCCACTGTAATAGAGTGTTTGTGCTGTAGTAAAATGTTTTTTGACTTGGCTTTAGCCACAATAAAGTGTGAGCTTTGTTTTTCTGAACAGGTATACGGGAAAACAGTGGACGGTCAGAAGACCATTATTGCCTGTATTGAGGGTCACCAGTTTCAGCCAAAAAATTTCTGGTGAGTAATATAGCCAGAGTCTTCATTATTGTGTTCATTTATTGTCTGTTGTCTTTGTTTTCGTGATATAAATGATTACTATGAGGACTGAATTCACCCATGCAGAGCTCATGTCCAGCATATCTTTTTTAAGTGACCTGTATGTGTGTATATGTATATGCAGGAACGGTCGCTGCAGGTCCGAATGGAAGTTCACCATCAGCCAGTCCTCATCTCAGGTGGTGGGGGTGTTGAAGATCCAGGTGAGTCTTCCTCATGTTTTCACAGGATAACTTTCAGCTAGTCGTGTATAGTCAAAAGCACTTTTTAAGAATATCTTTCTGAGACTTACAAGAGTCCGGCTATCTGGGGATTAGCATTCCCTTGATTCATAAGTTTAACTGACACAGTATTTCTTTCATGTTTATAACGTGATACCTGTAATCTCTCTAAAGTCTCTGATTTCCTTTACAGTTTCAGACAGTGGTGTGTGCATTATCTCATTATTGATGTAATATTGTGTGTGTGTGTGTCTGTATGTGTATGTGCTGTGGCAGGTGCATTACTATGAGGATGGTAACGTTCAGCTGGTCAGTCATAAAGAGGTGGAGGATTCCATCATAGTATCTGTGAGTGACCATTTAGGTTCCATTAATTGGAATGATGCTTCATAACTGCTTCATGGAACAAATCTCACTTATATTTAATGACCTTTGACAGCACAATTTCATTTACTTCATATAACATCTTAGCATATTTCACAATTACTTGCAAAACTGTTTAGAAACATTCAAATATTGCTTTATAAATACATTGTTTAATGCAAATGCATGTGTTAAATCCTAATGCAGATAGCCTTCAAATAAAGTTCTCTTTTCTGTGTAGTTGTATATAGAAACTCTGGAATCAGATCCACAGACATTTAGTATTGTACTGTACAGTGACACCAATGCTTCGTTGCTTCTCTCGTCTTCAGGATGAAGAGTCGACTGCCAAGGAATTTGTAAAAATTATTGAAAATGCGGAAAATGATTACCAGGTAAAGGCTTTTCGTAACTTATTTTTAATGCTAGACCAACAACTAGGACACTTGATGTTAGTGATGTCCATTATCATCATTATTAAATATGGACTTTTTTGAGGTAGCGGGTACATGAGCTTCATCAGCTAAATGATTTCAAATTTCTTTACCCTAGACGGCCATCAGCGAGAACTACCAGACAATGTCAGATACGACATTCAAAGCTCTGCGTCGGCAGCTTCCTGTTACCCGCACCAAGATCGACTGGAACAAGATCCTCAGCTACAAGATCGGCAAAGAGATGCAGAATGCCTAAAACCCGCCTGGTTCCACCTCTCTCTTTCTCTCTCTCAACGCAGAACCGGTCAAAATGAAAACTACATGCTGTTCGCTAACCAGAGGGAGAAACAGCCCCCCCTCCCCGAAAAAGAAACAAAACAAATAAAAACAAAACAAAAAAAGTCAAGGAACTTACTCTATCGTTGTTACAAAGAGGATGCGATTCCATTCGGTTTCTGGTTTGTCAAAGGACTCAGTCCGGTCTCAGCTATTGGAGGAGGGTCAGACGAGAGCTTAGAGGGAGTTCGGATCCAAATTATTGGTAAATCCGATGCTATTCTTGCATTAACGTAAATTCATCTGTCCCGTCTGTCCAAAATTCTCTGAAAGCGTGTAAATCATAGTTTTTTTTTTTTGTTGTTGTTGTGAGCTGCAATGGATGGGATGCTTGTGAGTACGGTTTAGTTGTCTTTAAGATGGCACAGAGAACTGCTGTCTCATTCAGTAACTACTGACTCCAGTCCAATACTCCAAACAAACCTCCTCTCTTCTCTCCTTCCCTCTTGGTCTATAAACTCATCCCTGCTGAGCATATATGAGGAGAGAAGGCTTGTTTATGAGTTTTGGAAAAAGTCTCTGTCTTAACTCCCCTCTCTCAGAATCTCCCTCCACCTGTAACTTAAAACCCCTCCTACTAAATGAAGACATTTAAAGTCAATCCAGAATTAGTGTGCAAAATTTAATGGATCAATAAAGGAAAAAAACAAATAGTCCTCTTTCCCATGGCAAAGAAATCCAAATTAAGTCTGAGTTTCATATTTATACATACAGATGTTATATTTTACTAAGCAGTCCTTAAAAGAAACATCCTAGCACTCCTTTGTTACAGGCATCACGTGCGCTTTGGGGTGTGCAGAATCAAACGAGTCTTACGATGCAAACAGGGAATCTGAGCTGTTCTATGCACTCTCCTGTCCCGGAGCAGAAAGGGGAGCCGCCAGTGTGGTCGCATGTTCATGTCATGGTACTGTTGGGTGCTTCCCCCTCACTGTAAATTCACCCTGAACACAGAAGCATTGTCAGACTGTGTTATATCACTCTTTTTCTCTCTCTTTTTCTCTGTCCTGTAACACGGCTCTTATGCTGATTTTAGCAAAAGTATATGCTACTCACAGGTAATAAAAGAATTGGCACCGAACTGATGACTGAAACTCCTATTGAGAAGACTTTTTTTCCTTGCTTCAGTTTTGTCTGTACATAGTTATTAATTCAGGAAAACTTCACCAATTTGTATCACTAAGATGGCATAATAATCTGCTTGCATTGACTTGTGACTTATTAAAGTAATTTGCAGTTAACTGTAATACGCTTGTAATAAGGCAGGTTCCTAAAGACTAAAGCCAAGCACCCTTTAAACACCAGCCAACATAATAGTAGAATCAGTCAGGTAGTACAATTTCTCTTAGTGTAGGACCAAATACCAAATGCATTCTGTATGGAAAACCACTTGAGTGGAAACCCATTATCAGTTGGTGTCAGAATTATCACTGTTGTCAGAAGAAAACCTTGTATCTCCTAAAAGGTAAATTTATAGGACAAGGAAAAAACCTACTTTTAATGTAAGTCAATGGAACCAGACATTTTCCTAAGTCATTCCAGGTCGTTTCTTTTGGTCCATTCCTCATGAAATTTACACACAACATAAAGAGCAACAGGCATTTTAGAATTGTCAAAAACTGAAAAAGGATAAAAATGGAGATTTTCTTCAAACAGCAGCGATATATATTATTATTTGAATACAACTGGTTTATGTTCTATACTTCCTTAACTGACAGGGTGCCTCAATGTTATTAATACTTTTAATCCATAAATGTAAAAATCTGGTTTCTGATTGATGCCCTCGCATCCAGTTTCAGAGCTGCTGCTCTGATGCCTAATTCCCTTTAGATGGATTAATCCTGTTCTCCATTTAAACAGCCTGATATTGTGGTCCAATATTCAAGATATATGATTATTGTAAAGATTGCAATTTTAATACACCCAGTTCACAGTGTGAACGTCTTGACTGAAAGGGTGCCTCATCATTATTTACTTTCAATCCATAAGTCTGATTTTAATAGATTCCCTCACATCCAGTTTCACAGCCACTGATCTACTGGCTAGTTCCCTTAAGAGGGATTAAGATCAATGCAACACATGATGAACTCCAAAAGGTTTTATTTTCCTCAGTATGTAAACCTCTCACTTCTCTAAAGTGGTTCTTCTCAATAACATTGGGTAAAATATTTCATTTTCAAAGTCATGGCATAACTTCCACCTGTTTCATTACTTGGAGTTATTAATGTCACTCTAGACTGTAGAACCAACTGAATTTCATGGGGTATGAGGCAACATACTATAATCATTCTGCCTAGAAGCCCCATTGATGTTTAGGGTCAAGATTATAATTTGAATACAACTAGTTTATATTCATAGTGACTGGCAGCGTGCCTCACCAATAATACTTTTAATCCATAGATGTACAAAACTGGTTTCTGACAGATGCCCTCACATCCAGTTTCCACTGCTTTAGTGGAATGTTCCCCCAAGACAGATTGAGATCAAGTGCAACACATGGTGAGCTCCAAAAGGTTTTATTTTTTCAAAGTGTAAAACAGAATTGAGTTTTCCTTCTGTAGGGCGGTTCTTCTCGAGAACATTGGGTAAAAATTTAAAAAATATATCATCTTTAAAGTATGAATTAGTTCAACTAAGACAAAAAGTAGTGTAAGCCCAGGTTCAACAAAGTCTGAGTACAGTCAGAGATTAGTGTGGGGGGCAGCACTGAGGTGCTTGACCAGTAGAAAAGATGGTGTTAATTGTACATTTCCGTAACACTTTTTCCCCAAATAGCTTAGATTTGAATATAAAGTGTCATTTGAAATAATAAAAAAAAAACTTACAAGTTCATGTGAACTAGCTGGATAAACAGATTGGTATAGCATTCAGTAACATGAAACACATACATATCCGTTCATATATAACTGATAATTCACAGGCTTAAACCTAGCAAGATGGGGACAGAGATTTAAACACTTAAATAATTGAAAAAAAGATGCATTTTAACTTATTTGTGCATTTATCTTTGCAATGAATAAGCCTACCTATTTCCTAATATGCCATCTCTCTTGGACTAACTACTACTACATACTACATACAATATCCTTAAGACTGCAGTGAATGGTTTTAACTACAGCAGTTTAAAACTGTAACATTTACAACATAAACGTGAACAAGATTCTGTACACATGAGGAATAGTCTCGCTGCATTAAAAAAAGCCAGTGTTTCAACTTCACATCTGCACATGGAAAAAGAAAGCATGCAGTAAAATCCTGTGTAATTTGGTTCTGAATGATTGTTGCATCTTTTAAACCATATTTAGAAGTGAGGCACATGCTTCACCTACCATAGTTATTTATTAGCCATGCTGGCAACAGTCTATCGCTCAGCTACACAAACCTCTGGTTACATGACAAAAGCTCTTAGACACCTCCTCATTCACAGTTTCTTCGGCAGTCGTGGGTATCAGTAAGAAGTTTCTCTTCCCATTTGCTGCAGTAACGGCCTCTACTCGTCTGAGAAGGCTTTACACTAGATTTTGAAACATTGTTGTGAAGATCTGATTGCATTTAGCTACAAGAGCATTAGTGAGGTCAGGGTCACTGATTTTGATGGTACGTTCTGGATCAAAAATGCCACTCCTTTCTCATCCCAAAGGTATTAGATGCACTTCCATCACTCCAGAGAACGCAGTTGCTCCATGGCCGGATGCTGGGGGACATTATTCCCCTCTAGCCGACGCCTGGCATTAGGCATGTTGACCTTAGGCTCATGTAGCTGCTCCAGAGACTACAGAAGCTGTGTCTGCACAACTGTATCAGCAATAGGTGCACCTTACAGTAACTATATTCACTTACTTGAAGGGGTGCCTGGATATTTTTGGACAGACAGTGTATGTTAATTCCCTAAAAGGAAAGTGAACACAGAAAGCTTTTCACCTGTCTAACACTAGAGGGCAACACGCTCACGTCTAGAAAACCATTTCCCTTCCTGTACAGCCAAAGCAGCTTTTCACCACATGCTACACAAACTGCTTGGACATGCTTTTCAATTTCTTTGACAATTTAAAGTGATTTTCGAGCTTCTAGAATCATGTAGAACTTAAATTACAGTGAAAGTATGAGAAAAGTTCTATTGTAACTGCAAAAAATTTTAAGTTTTAATGCATGCTGCATGATTTACCATCCCGCTAGATATGAACGGCATGGTCCTGTGCTAATAGTGTAAAATGATTGATTAGTTACCTGAGAATGATTCATTAGTTATTGCTGTTCATTTTGAAACCATTTTTTTTAAACAAACCTTATTAACCATAAAGCATGGCACAAGAAGACAATGCTAACATTTTAGGGATAAATAAAATCTCTTAAAATAAAAGGAACAATAAGATAATATATATAATAGATAAAAAAGAAAATCTAAATGAATGTCATCAGTTTCATAGATAAAGAAGCACAGTTCTGGACTTGGTCTTCTAAATGTCTCTTCTCCAGCCCTGCAAATGGTTTTACATGCTTAGGTTTGCAGAGTAAAAGGAATGGCAACTTCAACAATTAATCACCCTTTCAGTGCTTTGTAATCACACCTCTGTGGGAGGTCTTATGGACTAGGCGAGGAGAAAGTCCTAAGGGCACTATGTAGATTAGGCCCTTTAATTTGGTCTGGACTGTTGATTGAGTGCTGTTAGTGGTTAGCTAGAGGAGGACATGACCAGGTCCAGCTCTTTAGAACCCTCCTGTGTGCTGGTGAGGCCGCAGCTCCCGGACAGCTCCGGAAAGTTGCTGCCACGGGTGGAGGGGACGGGGGATCCTGGAGACTGGTTCATTCCGGGCTTCTTTGGGGGTATGGGGGGCGGGTGGCTTCTAGAGATGATGGGTGAGCGGATGCCGGGCGACAGGGGGCCTGGGCCTTTCCCTGTGGGCGAAGAAGAAGAAGAAGAAGCTGCCAGGGTGCGGTAGTCCGTGCCGAAAGGTGAGCTGTTGGGAGGGGGCAGTTTACCTGCTGCTTGGCTGGTGAATCGTGACAGCACCTGGGGATAGGAGAGTAGGAGTGTTCAGAGACAGTAATATTTCTGTCTGTATTTGTACTTGTTTAACAGAATTAAAGATGTTGATTTGGATTCAAACCAGAAATGAGGTGGTTTCGCCACATTTCGTTTTTTGGGGGACTTTTCAACTATGCAAACTTGGGTTACATTGATGGGCTAATGACAGGCTTGCTGTCTGTCAAGAAATGTTGACTAGTGCATCATTGTCCTCTACTTTGAGCTCCGCCTTCAAAAAGTGTTGGATAGGTTTAGAAATTTCACAGTTTGTTTCCACCCTAATAAGTCTTGCCCAAAGTTTCTCATGTTTACAGCCAGATGTTCTTATTACAAGATCACATCTGGCCAATTTAGACTAGAAACGGTGTGTTCAGACAGTCCTCATCAACTTAACATTGGAAATAGTCACAGCATCAGATCATAACTACTAATGGTGGTTCATTGTGAACAATACATATAGATCAAGGCCAGCTCGGTCTACTGTATTCACGTAATATTAGTGGTATCAACTTGTAAAATCAGGTAACATGGAATTTTGTCAAGTTCACAAATTGAACACACCAAATAGTCAAGTCAAACCTATTCTTTGTGCCTCTCCTAATAATGCATTTGTGTTAGGAAAAGCTCTTACCTGTGTGACGGTGTTGCGGGCGATCTGCTTGGCTGTAGGGTTCTCAGGTGGAGGTGGAGGAGTAGTGGTGGGTGAAAGGTCACGAGGTGAGTGAGGCTGATGTTGCAGATGTTGCTCTTGCTCGGCCTGCTGCTGGAACTTGTGGCGGGCGGCATGGAAACGCTGGTTGACGCTGGCCTGGTAGGACGAGGGGTAGGTGGGGCTGCAGGAGCCCAGTGAGGCCAGCCGCTTGGCCAGCACAGGCGAGGAGCAGGGTGAGGAGGAGAGAGAGGAACAGGCTGTCCCACTGGGGGACAGAGACTGCTGTGCCTGGACAGGGGAGCTCAGCGTCCCTCCTCCGTTCTCCAGCCCTCCATTTTCTGCACTCTTCTCCTCCACTGAAGAGTCACTCTCTTTACGCAGTAGGTAGCCATTGAACCTTGGCCGCTGAGACTGTTCAACAACGGCCGCTTTTCCATCGGTTTCGGTCTGGCAGGCCGCAGAGGCCAAAGTTGCTTTAGCTGGGGTTTCCTTCACCTTCTTCACCTCCTCCTCTTTTGCTCTCCATTCTTTCTCCTTCTCCTTCATCTCCTGCAGCTCCTGCTTCAAGCTCTCAATCAGCTCTTGCAGTTCTTTGCTTCGCTTCTCCTCTTTACGCAGCTTCTGCCTCAGCTGCTCCTGCTCTGTGTCGAACTCGGCCAGCCGCCTTTCAGCACGGGCCTCCGTCTGCAGGGCGCGAGCCCGTTCTGCCTCCAGCTCCCCCCGCAGGGCCTGAGCGGCCCTGCGCTCCTCCTCTAGCTGCTCGCACAGCTGGGCCACACGCTGGCTCTCCTCCTGGGCGCGGGCACTGGCCCGCTGGCATTCTTTAGCCAGAGCGGACGAGAGCTGCTGCTGCTGGGCCAGGTCCTCCTGTGCCTGACCAGATGCAGTCTGCTGCTCGCGCTCCAGACGCTCCGCCCGTGCCCGCTCAAACTCCAGCTGCACACAGATGAGGAGAGAACATAAGGAGACCAGAGAAACATGAAAAACAGAGTCTTAGACATGCTGAGCAGATAATGTCCCTTCCACTGAGTGTAACCGGTGACAATGTCTGACCTCACAATGATTCAAGGTGATTGTTTAGAAAACAGTTCAATGCATGAAAACATCTCAAATGTCAGCATGATTTGAATGTGTTTTGAATATGTGGAATATAGACCATAAACAACAATACAGCAGCCTGTTTATGTTTGAAATAGCAGATTTGTGGGCTGTTTAAAAATAAATACAGGTATGATAAATGGCGTTAGCCAGTGGGGGACATTTGAAGTTCTGAAGTTCACAACTGGAGCTTAAAATCTTCAGGCATTATACACCGATCAGGCATAACATTATGCACCTCCTTGTTTCAAAGCTCACTGTCGATTTTATCAGCTCCACTTACTCTATAGGTGCACTTTGTAGTTCTACAGTTACAGACTGTAGTCCATCTGTTTCTCTGCGTACTTTGTTAGCCCCCCTTTACCCTGTTCTTCTGTGGTCAGGACCCCCATGGACCCTCACAGAGCAGGTACTATTTGGGTGGTGGATCATTCTCAGCACTGCAGTAACACTGACGTGGTGGTAGTGTGTTAGTGTATGTTGTGCTGGTACGAGTGGATCAGACACAGCAGAGCTGCTGGAGTTTTTGGACTACAGTCTGTAATTGTAGAACTACAAAGTGCACCTATATAGTAAGTGGAGCTGATAAAATGGACAATGAGCTGATCATAGTGGATTATAATTTAATATAACATTCTAAATGCAGTTGAATTGCCACCTTCAGACTCCTGCCATTATTGCACTCCTACTAAATGTGTAACACAAAAGTAGTGGACTACTGTTTTGCAGCTGCAACGGGAAATAATAGTAATACGTGCATGTCTTGATCCTGGATTTTGTAGAGTGAATACTGTGAAACCTTCCAAAAAATTAGGACTGGGGTAGAGATATGGCTCAGAACAAAATTTAGGCTTATATATAAGCCTAGCTGAGTATATATATATTATAGCTGAGTATAGCATGTAGCTGTGAGGGTTTAAATCCCTTATAATGCTACACTATGCTGTATTTAGCTCATAGAACCAGTCTTATGTTGCTATAGTTCATCTACTCTCTTTACGGTAAGGGTGTCTAGGTCCAGTCCAAGAAGGTTTTAGCCCAGCACAGTTCGGTGATTTCTGTGCTCAAACATGCCTGATTCAACTCAGCAGTTAGATGCCAAGTGTAGTGGGTGTGTTTGAACAGGGAAATCTCCAAACTGTGCTAGACACCAGAGCTTCCAGGATCAGAATGAAATACCCCTCCTTAAGAGTGCTAATGTGTTTATACAGCAGTAGTTTATCTGGTGTTTTTGGTAGAACAGGAAGGGGTTTTCCTGTGCTTTCTAGAGTAGTGTATCCTACTGGTCCTGGAGTTCCCCATGTGCAATGCAGGATGACTGCAGGAGCAGGACTGGGATACACACCTTGAAATCACATGAATGCATTGTGACATCCCTGATTAGGCGCATTCACAGGGCTTTTTGTTTATTGCGGGTGCTGGGGTCAAAAAAATGAATGCCAGTGTATAATTCATATATATATATATATATATATATTTTTTTTTTACTGCTGTCTCTGTCTGTGCTGCCGGTCACAGCACACCTATGGATTCCAAACTCAATGCAAAAAATAGCAGTGCAAAAAGAAAAGCAGTGCAAAAAAATACTGGGTCAGGTCCCTGGAGAAAACAACCCTGACCAATCGAATGGTTTTCTCAAATTCTAAGTGTCTGGCTCCAGATTTAGTAAACATGGCTAATGTACTGGAAATACAGTTGAGGTACTAACTGTAAATTCATTTGTTAGTTGTCTGATATTTTTTAATGTTATTTTGTTTGGTTTTAGCAGTCTGGTTTATTACTTAATTCTGTATTTTGATTTTTTGGTTCTTATGATCTCTCAACTCTGTGGTTTCGGCAGATGTCCTTTATCTATTCTTGAGATTTTTATATGTAGCTGCTGAATGTCTTTGAACAGGCTGGTTGTGATGGGGTTAATTCGGTCTTGTGCTGGATATCTCTAGGTCGATGTCCATGACGCCGATAATGTGCACCGTCCAGCTGTTTTGTCATATGTTTTTTTGTCATACTGACTTCGGAGTTTTAATTTTATATGCAAGGCGCCTCATGGACTTGGCTTGTAGCTTACAGTCTCTTAAGTATAGAAGGCTGAATATTATCTACATAGGGGAGCTATTAGCACTCATGTGGTGTGCTAATAGCTCACTTGTGTGCCTTATTGGAACCCAGTACGTAAAATTCAGACTCTACCTGAGCTTGACACATATTTGGGAAATCATGTCCGAACCCAACTTGGACAGTTGGGTCCCATCAGGATCGGACAAATATTTCGCATTCTAGTTGTGATATACTGTATGTATGCTGCGGCTCGTGCCTGAGCCAGGCAGGAAGGCAGGAAAAAGGTCTTACATAATACTGCATGTTCTGTCTTCTGACCTTATCACCCTTTCCTTTACCCATACAACCCACACTCACAGCAGTAGCAGCCTACAAAACAATGAGCTCTTTTCCTCTGCAGGCTTCCTATAGAACAATTACAGAGCGACAGACGCAGGACCCCCTGCCAGACACACACACACACACACACACAGTCCAGACGCCCCATTGTGTTACACAATGCTGCTCTTTAAAGGCTAGGCCACATTTAGCCCCAGTCTCAGACAGAAGCCTAAAGCAGGGTGTCCAGATCACAGCTGATACGCTTACTGCAGAGTGGAGCTAGAGGCAGATAGATGTATTTACAGAGTAGAAGGGCGACTCCCTAGAAGTCTAAGTTGTTGATCATAACAAAAGGCAAATCTCCAGTATGTACAGACAAATGGATAAGCAAATAGATACACTCAGATAACCTGGGGGAAGAAACAAACCAGTGAACAAGAACGAGGAACAAACACAACATGCTTCCCATAATAAATTCAAATACAGGACTATATAGTCTATAATGAAACAAAATACAGGTGTGAATCATTGGGTAGGTTTCAGGGCAGAGTTTGGGTGAAATTAGGGTGGAGCCAAGATACTGATTGCATTACAACTGCTGTCCTCTGCCACTAGGAGGCAGGTTTTGGCTAGTCGAGTGCTCCCAGATAGCCACAGAGGCCAAAAAATGTTTCTTCATAGTCTTGCAGGGCCAGGCGTGATATCGTAGGGAAAAACAGTGCTGTTAAACCAGTTTATCCTTTAGCTCTTGAAGACATCAGTGGACTGGTGATAACAGTTAACAGCGGGTTACCAGTGGCTGTATGTGGCCTGTGCCATTCACAGTTACGATACAGCCAGAATAAATGTGATATGGAAAGAGTTGGAATTGGACTTGGAATTAAGTTAAACAGCCTAGAGGAATTTCTATGTCTGGACTTTCTTACAAAATTACCTTCAATTCTTTCCAAGCAACATGTCAGACTATCTTTTTTTGTTCTATTTTAATAATTACTTATCTCTTGATTGATTTTCTCAGTGTGGTTGGTCAGTGATGGGAAATTTACAGCTTATGATGATGTCATTGGCTCTATTTTGGTGCTGGAAAAGTCCCCATGAAGCAATAGTGGTGGGATCCACCACAAATCCCAAGACGCACTAATGCTAATGACTCTATCTGGGTAGTACACATATCTATAGCTGTGTTCCAAAAGCTAGGTTGCAGCCAAGGATGATAGGTCCTTGGTAGCACTGTCTTATTAGGTCTCCTTGTTTTTATTACATAATGCAAAACGGAATGGTCTATCAAGACTGCGTAGGTTACGTCACCTGAAAGAAGGTGCAAACTTTGATGGAGAAAATGCTGCTGTTGGGAATGATAGTAAACTAGCAAGCAAAAGTGGTGTGAATGACATAGTATGGCAGATCCTTAATTTTTTTGTAAATGCTATCCTGCAAGCAAAAACTGTTCAACTCACTGAAGTGGCACGGTGTATATTTTACTGGTCATTTTACTGGCCTTTCTATACAATGTGTAGTACAATCTGCGCTGAACTTTTACCGCACTGGCTATCCAATGAGCTGAGTATAGCTGGCCCTGCTTACAGATTGATTTTTGATAATCCATCATTATACATTTTACAAAAAATTCTGCATAAATTAATCTAATTTCAACATGTATAAGCTTTCAGAACACAGCATTAGATGCAGTAGTTTCATCTTCATTCTTTGGGTTAGGATTATGGGCATCAGACGACTGAGAAAGATACTCCAGCAGCATCCTTAAATCTTGTCAGAATGTACGCTGCATTTCTCAGCTGTATTCGAAGGACTACAGCCCAGTTAAAGATGCAGCAAGTAGCATTTTCATATTTTGCTTGTAGGTTGGATATTTCAGACTGGCTGTTAGTCATGTGGCTGGACACATGACAGTGGAACAGGAATGTTATGAATATGCAGCTCTCAGGTCCAATGGTCCTGTTTACAGTGTCTCACAGCTTGGCGGGTTTATGACACACTGTGTACAGGTGTGTGTGTGTTTGTTTGTGTTTTGGTGGTGTTGCTAAGTTACCTGCTGCAGTAGTCTCTCTCTTTCCTTCTCCAGCATGTATGTGACATCATCACCCTCCGCTGTATCTTGGGCATGGCGCCGTTTCTCTTCCTCCAGATCAGCAATGACCTTAAAACACACACACACATATACATATCAGCCACATATCAGTCATAAATATAGATGTGTGTCATTATAACTGCTAAATGCTTTCTTCCGGTTATTGATCTCAGCCATAATAGCAATGTATACAATACTGTGTAAAAGTCAGAAATCATCCTTCGTTTGTTTAATATCCAGTCATAAGGGCTATTAAGTATTAAGTTTAAAGTCATTTTCACCACCAGGATTAAATTTTTCAGTATTAAGTGTGTCCATACTTTGCCTTTATTACAGCTTCCATTCTTTTTAGGAGACCACTGAGATCACTGACTTTTGCACAGTACTGTATCTTAAACAAATAATGCAGTCCCACCCAAGGAAGTGTGTGTGTACCGGAAGGGGGTGTCTCCATAGAAATAGAATGCCAATTCTACGGGTGTGCACAGAGGTGTGTGTGTGTGTGCACACCTGTTAAACTTCATGGTCGTTCATCACCATTGCTATTGCACACGCACACACGCACACACGCACACACACACACACACACACACACACTGCTGTTAGGACTGAGGTCATATTGAAGCCATGTTGTGCTCTTTGATGATCCATTCAGGCTTATCGAGTTTCAACTGAAGCTTATAAATCAAAGACACTTCAACACAAGAACTTCAACACTACTCACCTCAGAGAGAGAGAGCAAGAGAGAGAGAGAGAAAGAGAGGGAGAAAGAATAGGACTCAAAAAAGGAAGGATGAGAAAATGGGGACAGAAGACAGTGATGGACAGAATAAATGAACAGGGAGGAACCTCTTGTAGCCCAAGGTCAGTGCAACAACAGCTCCATTGTGTGGGACTGAACCTTTAGAACAAAACACTGTACACTGGGACAATACGTGTGGATTTACTCTCTATCTCTCCTCTCTCTCTCTCTTTGTCATTCACTCTCTCTCTCTCTCTCTCACACACACACACACACACACACACACACACACACGCACACGCTGTCTCTCAGTCCCACTCACTCGCTTCACCCCAGGAGCTGCATTATTCCTTTTTGGTTCACAGGACTCATCAGGGTGGGGAGGGTTACGGCTTAAACACACATACACAGAGACACACACTCTCCTAGGAAATCAAAGAGTTTAGAAATAATTGCTCTTTGTGTAGTAATGAATGAACAGGACATTCAGACATTACTTTGTTTGATCTGAATGAATCTTTCCTGCCTAGAATGTCGCTTCTCTGTTCTCATGAGTTTTTTTGGCTTCATTCTTTAGGAAAGCAAGATATATTTTGGGCCTCTGCACCATCATTTATTATAATTTGTTATTATTGTAACTTGTATAACTGAGCTATAAAAGCATGGGAAATAAATATTTTACTTATTTATTTATTTATGAATTAATTATGAAAGGGCACATATCATGGAAAGCTGAATTTTCATCATTTTTTAAATGAAAGAGTTTAATGTAGTATGTAAGCATTAAATTGTATCATTCCACAGTTCTTGCAGTCCATAACATGGAAACTGAAATGCAAAAACAGTCCATTTTGTGTTCATTGTTTTTGTGATATCACAGAAACCAACACATTTACATATATCTGCCTATTCAACTTACAGCTAATTCATGATAGCGACAAATGACGGCCAATTCTGGCTCTTTCGGTACATTAACGCACAAAAACATCATTAGTTGACCTCAGGAAAACAGATTATATAGATTTTCTTCTGAAAAACAAATCATATAAGTAGGGCTCCCACAGCAGCCTGGGAAATTGGAATATTTATTCCCACTTCGACAATGCAATACAGTGGCCAGGGATTTGGCTACAGCCTGTTCAAGGGGCGTGATTATCTGTAAGCTCTGCCTCTTGTAGTCTGAAACTGAACCTTTTAACTCCTGTTTACATCAGCAGGAGTTAAAGTTTTTCCAAAGAAAAAGCTATTTCTGGATATACACACAACTAATAGATTAAAGGCTATTAAACACAATATCAAACACAACGTCTGCTAGATGATGACATTGCTCAGGCGGTGCATGTTGTAAAAATACCGTGAGAGCAGTTTTCATCTGATTTGTGTACACACACACACACACACACACACACACACACATTCCGTATCGCTTACCCGTCTGTGTCTGCTCTCAGCAGCTGCCAGCTGTGCCATCATTTTCTCCTGCATGCGCTTGCAGTGGGTCATCACCAGCTTCAGCACGGCCAGTGGGTTTGGACTGACGTGGGCTCTGACACTGTGACTGTGATCCTGAGGCTGACCCTGCTCTCGACCCTGCAGCACCTCGCTGTCCCTCTGCAGGGCCAGGAAGGGGTCACTGAGGTCATACTGCCCATAGCGCTCCTGCACAAACGCATCTCGGTGTTGCGCCTGGAACAGAGGTCAGAAGGTCACAGGTGAGACCACAGGTAAGGTGTGTTGATAGAGTGCTGTTCAGTGCTGATCACTGATGTTGACAATAGATTTGTGAATGAGAAGTATTGGGGTATAGGAAGCCGGTCATAGATTGGCCCTTTATTATTAAAGTCACATTTATCACCAGAAATATGGTGTCATTTTATCAGAGATGACCATTACCACTTTTTCTTTTCTAGTATCGGTATTAAAACCTTGAATATCGTCTGATACCAATACCGATCCGATATTTTTCCTTTCAAAAACTATGAAGCTTAGTTAGATCACTTAAGATCTAAAAGTAAGCTGTCATACTTAAATTACTCAAACACTCTATTACCCCTCAGAAAAAATACAGATCACACAGTTTGAATGTGTGCTGCTTCAGGCTTGATTTGTTACAAGACTGTATTGGATTCATTATTTTTTTCCCTTCGATATCCGATCCAGCATTTTCTTTTGACATATCACCCCAGTACCAATCAATACCATCTCTCAATTTTATATTAATTATTTCTCACTCACTGAAACAAGAAGAGTCAAAAGCATGGATAGGAGATATTTTATTATATTTTTAGATATGTTATTACGATTTAAATTTGATGCCAAGTTATTGTTGTCTTGTTTTATGTTTTTGTCACTTTTTTACATTGAAGCAAATAAAAAAAGAACTCAAAACTGCTGAGACAGAATGTGAACTGAATATTAATGTAATTCATTGCACTACTCACTATGTAATTAAATATGTAACTGTGTCATTGACTTTAAGTAATATAGCAAAATGACAGTAAAAGTTCTAGACTTCTAAGACTGAAGACACTTGTTCAGAACTTGTTTTGAGCAGTAAATATCAGTCAGTCAGTCAGTGTGTACGTGTGTATGTGTGTGTGTGTGTGTGTGTGTGTGTGTATAGGCTGAGGTCTGAAGAGTGTGTTGCTGGGTGATAGAATAGCAAAAGAAAAAGGAAGCTGTCTATGTTAACTAATTGATGAATTTATATGAATAATTGCATTGATGAAGGAGGTGGTTAGTACATGAATGGCATCATGTGTAGTGTATTTTCTGAATTGGCCTGTGGAGTTTTTTTGTCGTCTCACTTTCTGCCGTTTTTCCGACTGTGCAAAAGAGCAGTGTTTGGCTTCATTCTGCCCTGGAACCATTTCAAGTTGGAACCGGCACTGCTGTGTCAGTGATGTCACTGCCTGCTGCAGGCAAAAAGCTGCCACTGCTGACAGGTCAGTGGCGTCTCTCCGTATATCAGGCCTGTCAGAGTGAGAGTGCTGACCTTAGTCACATTTAGAGGGATTTGAAAACACTCTTAGACTGAAAATGTTAAAGAATTGATGGATTCAATGGATTCAAATGTGTACATAATAGCCACCTGAATAAATACAGCTGTGTGCAGCAGTTCGGGCATCACATTTCTTGTTGAAATAAAGTACAAAAATAAGTACACTTAATTATGGCATCCATCTGCAAATCCCAGTACACAAATTCTATTTATTTATTAACTGTGCATTAAAATGTACAGAAGTGTGTTCTCTGTAGGATGTGTACTTATTTTCACTTTGAAAATCAACAAAATATTTAATTTGACCAAAGGCCACCAAATCTTTGCACTATTTTCTTTCGGTTTACTCACTTTTGACTGTACTTCTGTTGATGTAGTCTCATATATTTTATTCATACACATTTGAATCATTTTATGCGTCACTTTTTCAGTGTGTTTCCAGGGTCTCTCTCCCTCTTTGTGATTACATGCCGCACACACACATGCAAACAAACAAACCTGACATGGTTGCGCTTATGCAATTACAGCTCTTTGTTCATATGGCTTTTCCACCTGCAGAAGCTTTGTGTACAAAGTATAGAATGTCTAATTCATTGGTTCTGAGTTCTGGTCCTGTGGTATATGGTTTTTCTTGCTCTAACATACCTAATTCAACTAATCAGCTCTTTAATTAATTAGTGCCAAAGCTATTTCTGCCTTTCTCCTCTTCATGTGTAATCATGGCTTCTCAGTGATGTTGTCATATTTACTACATAAGTTATGATGTAATAACAAAGTTATTATTATATTATTATATCATTCTGAGCAAGCAAATATAAATATGTGCTGTACAAACCCTTCATTTATTTAATTTGTAGTCAAAATACCCTTAAAGTACAAGTTATTCATTTTTAGTGTCAAAAAAATGAAAACATATTTAACTGAAATTTTAACTGAAAACTGCACAGAAGCATCAGCAACTAAATATAATATCAGATTTAGTGTGTCAACTCTTTGCCTTTATCACAGCTTGAATTCTTTTCAGGACAGTTCCTTTCTGATTTTGCAGAAATCTCCGAAGATATTGTTCCACACATCCAAAGTTCAGTCTTAGAAGTTGGTTGCTTTTTCTTCTTCTCACAATCCAAGTAATCCCAAATACATTCAATAATGTTGAGGTCTCTGGACTCTTGGGTGGTCAGACTATTGTTCTGAGAACACCAGCAGCTTCTTTGTTTGATTTGGAAGTTTTGTTTTCCTTTTTGGTTTATTTCCTTTTCTTAGTCATGTCTTCTGCAAATCCTTTCAGACCCATAGCGTTGAGTTGTCTTCTCACAGTGGAAGGATGGACTAAAACAGATCTAAAACAAGAGTGGAGCTTGATTTTCTCCTCTCTGTCAAAGATGAAGGCTTTAAGTACTGTTTATCTGAAGGTGACAGATCTGGTGGTCTACCAGGTCTTGCACGGTTGCTAGGACTCCTATTTTCTCTGTATCTTTTAATCATTTATAACTCCAATTTTGGAGTGTTTTTCACTTATTTTCCTTTGACCTTCTCTTTCTTTCTGCAAGTGGATTATCTCATATCTAATCTCCTCAGAAACATCTCATGAAAGATGAATAACTTTTACTTAATGGTCATTTTGACTGGAAATAAAAAAATATGTAAAGTTGGTCTCTAACTTTTGAACAGTACAGTACACTTCACTCACATTTTATCATCATTCCTATTGAACAGATCGATAATAAGCACTTAGATTTGAGTTTTGTTCTGAATCACTGATGCAAGTAAATGTAAGTACGCATATGAGTGTGTGGTGGTGTTTACCACCAGCGGAATGGGAAGAATGCTTTAATGTTTGATAGGGAGATGCTTTAGTTGGACCTCAGTCTACATCCAAAGACTCACTCCCTACTCCTCCTCACTCTGTTCTGTCCCTACAGACAGAGATGTGTAGAGTAGCCTAAATCCATATTAGTATTGTTACTTCAGTGAAATAATGACTGGAGCAGAAGTAAAAGTAGCCAAGCAAAAACAACTGGAGTAAAAGTAATACAGTATCAGGTCAAAAAACACCTGAAGTAGTTCCCTATAGAACTGCAACTTCTTAGTATATCCAGCATCTATAAGCATAGGAACTGCAGGCTCTTCTCTTTTTGGTGTAAAATAAACTGCTAAAGCTCTAAAATGAGAGATGTGTGCAACACCAAAACAATCCGGGATCTGACCAAGAGGACAGAATAAAAATAAACTCAAAAGAGGATTAGTAGCTCAAAGTGATATTTATCTGTTTCTTACACATTTTAAAAAGGCCACTGCCTTTTGCACTGTTTGAACAATTCATAATGAATGGGCCAATAGAAATGCTCCAGAATTACTGAGCATACATTAACGTTTATGAAAGTTAGCATTTTGGTGAGGTTTTATCATTGGAAGTATTATCGTTGGGAAATACCAGTGGCAAACCATGACTATTACAGCTAGACATTCAGTTTGGGCCATAAATCTGAGAAAAAAACTCATTTCCACATATTTAACACTGTATGCAACAGTTTTACTGTGACTCTGTGACTCTAATGACTAATTGATTAGGCTGCTGCTCATATTCATAGTCAGTGATGTTTCTAGGACTTCCATAAGGCCTTTGTATCCTAAATATTATATAAATAAATATATCATCAAGCTGATAGTTAACTGATTGTGTAAGGCCTTCAGTCCAGCTCCTGGAGGAGCACACTTGGCCATATCTACCAAGATACTATGGGGAAAAAAAGTCCTGATTAGACAACTTTCCATTTCAAAGTTTTAACCATTTTAGTTTCCAATCAAAACTTGGAATTCCATCAGTTTTTCAACATTTCTGCAAATTTCGATGGTCAATGGTTCAAAAAGTAAATAAAGTCATTTGGAGAGATTTGATGTGAAATGCTTAGTTCTAGAGAATTTATGGTAGTGGGTTTTTATATGTAAAGCTGAGTATGGTACAATAGTGGTAAATCTGAGAAAAATAAGTTTTCTCTTTTGCCTTAAAATGGTCTGCCTGAACCTCTATGCCATAAATGAATTTTAAAAATTATGTTTTATGCCAAAAGCTCAGGTCAAAACTATCATAAAACAGTGTCTCAGACATCCGGCAGCATATTAAAAACCATTTCATGTATTAACTTTATGTGAAGTAGTTTTAAAATGCATTAAATGCTTTGGGCGTCCGGTTCACATCACCACCACTGTGAACAATTATGACTCGGTAATTTTCTCTAGAACAAAACATTTCACATGAAACTATTCTGAATGACCCTGTTTAACAATGTAATTATGCAGAAGTATGCAGATCTGTGAAATTCAGCTTTTACAATAAAAATGTAAATAAGTAGTTTACATACAACATGCTGATTCTGTGAAATGAAAATGAACTAAACATTATATGCATGTACTTTTTGGTTCCCAGAAATCATTAGGCCTTATTTAAAATCCTAGAAGGACCTGAGGGTTTCACTCTATAAGACACAAATGCAGATTAGATACAGAATACTATACATCTCTGCTTACAGACCGTGAGGTAACGTGTGTCAGCATCAGCACGTGAACTTAATCACACTGTGCGTGTGAGTAGGGTCAGACTTTGAAGTGAAGCAGCTCTGCATGAGGCAGGAACTCAGCAGGCAAGAGAGAGAGAGAGAGAGAGAGAGAGAGAGAGAGAGATGAC